TGCAGATAAGGTGCATGTCAAACAGATTATCACCCGCTCTGAGGTGGGGCTGTAACAGTGAGCTGCCTGGGGGCAGGTTCTGGGGTTGGGGTGGTTCCTCCCCCCCTCCTCAGAGTAAGCCTCGTAGTACACCTGCCACGTACACAGCCGATGGGGTGCTTGCTGCGGGTGTTGCAATAGTTACCTGTCATTCTCCTGAAACAGGCTCAAGCACAGCTAGGATAAAAGAGAACTCTCCAAAAGAGCTGAAGAGGGATAAAAATAGCAACCTAGGTACACGCAAAGGTATCATTCATTGGTGAAGAGGCACATTGTTCAGACATGTTTGGGCATCCCCTCCCAAACAAATACAGTGCTTTCGAAAATATTTAAGTAATGTGGCACTAGACCAATGAAAATCCTAAAAAAACAATTGCAACAGACACAGAGCTGGTTGCATCCTAAAAAGCTGGTTGCAACAGAGCGGGATGTTATGATAGTTACTGTAAACTAAGAACCTAGGCAAGTGATTTTCCTCTTGAGCCCAAGAGCAGCAGAACCGAACAAGCAATGAAAAGGATTTGCTATGTAACATCCTTGAGGCGAGATGCACAGATGCCTACAGCTATGGAAAGGCATATGCAGGTATGCAACACTTCCGTCGGCTTCTACTTCATAAATACTCCAATAGCTGCATTTTCCCACCAGGCCCCACCACACCATCAGGATCTGCACCAGCGTACCGGCAAAAAGCTGTAGGACTTCTCTCCAAAAAGCCGATTGGCAAGCCGTAAGAGATAGGGAGCATTGCTTCTGTTTATATCCATAGTCAGAGTCTGAAATCTTGAATGAATATCTTCAACTTCATCAAAGTGAAGCGTCTGAAATAACAGAAGAGAACTAGCTGCTGCTAATACTTAAAAGAACATAATGTACCTGCTGGGGGGGTCTGATCCAGCAGGTAGGTAGGCTGAAGAAAGAGAAAAGAGGAGGCTGAAAGCTGCTTAGAAACTTTTGTAAACCTCAGTGAATGAATGATACTGTTTGTTGGTGCTACGCTACCTGTGTCAGCCACTTGTATTAAGCTCCTCGTTTTGCAGGTAGTCACACCTGAAGCTGTTGATCATAACCCCATTTTCAATTCCCCAGGTGGGGAGAGATGATGCACAGAGACACTTTAGCTTTCTTGTTTCTCCCTTTGGCCCAAGGGAACTTGGGGTGTTGCTTTTCAGAATGTACAATCAAAACTAGCACAGGTGAGGTCTTAAGAAAATTTAGAACTATTATCTTTTATGGTTTTATGAGAATATAACTGCTTATATATATATATTAAAAAAAACCCCCTGCGTCATCCTAAAAATCAAATGCATCACTGCTTCTCTTTACCCCCGCACCTGCTTTCCCAGCAGCAAGGCGGCTAGCCAAGGCTTGCAGTTAGGACAGCAGGAGCTGCCAGACTTCATCGACAGGGAAGACTAGACCAAAGCAAGGACATTCACATTCAGACTTAAGTCACGTACTTCTCAGTAGTGAACACTGCTGTGAAACAGCCGCTGAATTCAAAAAAAAGGCCTCATTTTATCGCACTGGGTTTTTGGTCAGGCCTTGCTGCCCACATTAATGCAAGCTGGGTTGTACATATGAATAGCTGAGCAAAAACCTCATGGAGGCAACTTACAATAAGATGATGATCACAGCCACAAATTTCTGCAGGCTTGCAAATAGCCCTTGACAGTTATCAACCACTGCCTCCCTAATTAACTACGTTTTCATAAGTAAAGCATCACGGTATGGGAACATGTGTTGCTGAAGATGACTGTGCTGAAACACATTTTTCCCCCCCCCAGTTTCTTTTGCATGATATCCGCTCCCAGTAGGTTTCTTCTAGGCGGGGCTGTCAGTTTAACTACATGGCACGTATGTTCAAAGTCTGTCTGTACAAGTAGTGAGAAAATAATTTCCTCATCCTATTCAGTAAGCACAGCGCCACTCAACTGTATAAAACAGTTCCTCCTAAAGTCCAGAATACAAAGGTGAAATTATTCATGGGCAAGTAGGTGATGATGACTGACTCATAGAATCATAGATTGACTGACTCATACGCCCTTTTGCACTAGCACTAGCCTAACAAAGGGGAAAAATGACAGTGACCGAGTCCCTTCCCTGCAAGAGGCTGTTTTTTGCAATTTATGACTTTTTTTAAACTATCCTACCTAACCTAAGGCTACGGTAAGAATAAGCACGTGGGCTCAGCTCCTCTGAGGTATGCAAGTGCCTAGCTGTTACTAAGATACCGATACATCATCATGTATTATCACAGTTGTTACTCTCTGAATATAAAACTGTATATCGTGTTTCCTACAAAATCCACAGTATTAGTAAGTGTACCGTTCATAACCCTGTATTACAAAGCAATAGTTCTCTGTCGAAACGTCTCAATGAAAACTAATAAGGCCTTGCTGCTGGAAACTCCGGTCAATATAAATGGAGAGTGATTAATTAATGGAATTAGTTTCCTGCTTCAAGAATTAACTTAATAAGTGAAACTAAGTGAGAAACAAGGGCCACAGCAAATACGGACAGAGGGCTCTGGAGCAGGGCAGGCAGAAGGTAACTACAGAAAGGAGCCTCGAGCATGCTCAGGGAGCATGACAGAAATCTCGTCCTGAGCACATAAAAATAATACCCTCCTTTCATTTCTCCCTCCTCTAACACACAACAATTTTTAATGTAAATAAAACATAAAGCCAAAGAGAATATATATACGTATATATATATTTTTTACTAACCTTCAGCAGCTGGGCCTCTGTATTACCTTTGGCCCCTAGAAGGACCATGGCCAGAGCAGCAGAGACACTGACAGGAGAGAAGAAAACATTCCCTGTTGGGTTGGTCTCACTGAACCTCCTGAGCAGATCCAGTGCAAATCTGCTGTTGGCATTATGCAGGTTCTCCATGGTTATAGCTGAAAAATAAAACAGGCAGTGTGGACTCCAGAAAACACACTTCAAAAACCCTAACCTAATCTTGTGTGACTCACAGAGTAAAGACTGGATTAATCAGGTTGCAGGTGGGGACAGAAACAGTGCATCTTCTTCTTCAAAAAAAAAATCTGTCACATTGAAAAAGCATGGGGTTTTTTTTTCCCCCTATCTAAACTGTGTATCCCAACCTTCCCTATCACACTAACTTGAAAGACATTATTTAAAAAAATTCCCAGTCTTCTACCTTGAAACGAGAAGTATGTGTGCTGGCAAGATCCCAAGTCTTTCAGTCTCACAGACCCAGCACACCCCAGAGAGCTCACGCATGCAGCTTTCCCCCATGTCTTCTACCCGAATCCTGGCCAGGAAGCGCTCACCACCGCAGAAAGGCGACAATCCCGCCGCAGGCTGAAGCATACGCTTACCTTCAGCAGCGTAAGGCACCGCTGCTTTCACCAGCCCGCTCTGCCGAGAACAAGCGAGGGACCTGCAGGCTGCATCCAGGTACAAACGCACCCCAGCCCCGCCAGGGCCGGCCGGCCCCACGTGTGCGGGCAGGGAGCCCGGGGCTTTGCTGGCTGGGGGTGAGGAACCGGCTGGCCAGGGCAAGAAGTGAAGCGCAGGACAGACAAAGCTCCAGGGCTGATGCTGCACAGCCGGAGCTGTGATTCCTCTCTGTGAGATGATCCCTAGGAGGCTCTCGGAGCAGGCTGGGGTGAAAGGTGTGAGGGCTGGGTCAGGTGCCAAAACCTACGCTAAAGGCTGGTGGCAACACCGCCTTGACACTGTGAAACCTTCCTGCCCGCCTGGCACTGATTCCTGCTCCTCTTTCCTTGCTTGCAGGGGGACATTCGGATTTGGCTGTTGCTAGCTCGTTTCCTCAAGGAGTTGCATTTTAGACACAGGCATCTGCCCCCAGCACCCAGGGCGGCAGCCCAGCAATACTGCTGCAAGTACTGCCCAGACCCAACTACATGGAGAAGTTTGCACTTGAATTCGGGTATTTCCAGCGGAGTCTTTCTGTGGGAACTGCAAAATAACGCTATCTATCTGCTTCCACCGCCAGACGGATAAACGCCCTGCATCTTTACAATGTTCTTTTACCTAGCTCTACGCAAAACAAACAAACAAGCAAACAAAAATCCAAACCCCAAAGCGTGCTTTTACTTTCACTTACTTACACCACCGCACTGTGCACGCGTTTTACTGAAACCACCCGGTTTACAGCCCCCACCCCAAAACTGCCCACGCAGACCCCGCCGCCGCGGAGGTGGGGGGGGGCGGGGAACGACGACGGACAGGGAGACGACGACCGGCGGGCG